CCGTCAGCCTAAAACCCATTGTTTGGGCCAGTGTGAAATTCCTAATTTTGTTGCTGGTGATTAATTGAATTTTTTTTAACTGCTATTTTGACTCTCATTTGAGTCCAGAAATGATATTATTTTATTATTACCTACTGTATTCAATTAATTTGTGCCTTGAGTGCTTTTACTCATCAAATTTACCTAGAATTCTATAACTCAGTGATGTGGACGTTTTCTAGCAATTAAGATATTGTTCCACAAGTTTGCCACCTGGTTTGGTGGCATCAGAACTTGTTCTTTACAATGAAAATATATATGGATTATGATTTTCACTCTGAAGTCTATTGAGAATTCCCGTTCGAAGGAATTATTATTTGTAAATTTAACACCGAGCATAATTTATAGGTCTATACCTTGTTATGATCTCACTTCTTTGGATTGTGCTATTTCTATAAAAGAGTGGGCTAGAGTTACATAGCATTGCTTTGAGCTTTCGGATAAAATAACTTGTTGCTAAATCTCATGCATTTACCTCATAGACCCTGAAATGTCTCTCCGTTTAAGTTGTCATTTGGTGCCCTTAAGACGAACTTAGCTTGCATTCTAGATTTATGATAATCATTCTGTTGTTCTTATCAATTATTTGTTTTGTACTTGTCATTATCCATCAACATTAACTGTACAATATGTAATACTATTACTGTAACCTTATTGCTTTTTTCCCTCCCTCTTTGCTGAGTTGGCAGTGCTTACACCACATCACTAGGTCCACTCAAGAAAGACGGTCCCTGCTGTATCCGATGATTTCTTAAGGTGAGATTTGAAGTGTGAAACAGTTTCAGTTAGGAAATTTCAGATCTTTTCAATTTGGATTCTTTTAGGATGGGTCTATGCAGTCTATTGTCTGTTCCATTTATCTCCTGTTGTTTACTAGACATTCTGCCAAAATAGCTAAAACTTTAATCCCTTTTTATTGATCTTTTTTGGTGTTGTAGGATGTTAAATGTATTGTGAGTCTCATTGGCTACATCTCTTATCTATATGAGAAAGAGAGCTTGTGTGTCATCATATTTGACTGTAGTTTAGATCTATTATTATTTATCCGTTCAAGTGTTTTCTTATAAACAATTAAAAGAATAGGTATACTATGGAAATTTTGTCCATTGAGCTTTAGATGAAAATTGATGGGGATTTCCAAGTTTAACCAGGTGGTTCACTGACACATGTTCTTTGGAGCTTTCTGTTTATTGGAAGTGGTTGATTTACCTTGGACCACCATAATACAGTTCTTCAGATATATATTTTTGCTTTAAGTTAGCTGTATAATAATTGAATATTTCGAGGAAATATTATCTCTCACTTCACTATTTCAGAGAATCATGTGATCCACAGGTTTATTCGGTTTCTATAGTTGCATTAGACGTCATTGGAAGGTTTAAATTCTCTGTTTCAACGGATTACTTGATACTTAGTTTACGTTCCCAGGTATGCTAGAGGTTGCCTGAAAGGTATGCTAGATGTTGCCTGAAAAGGTGATCGAGGGACCAATGTCTTCCTGCCGGTGGGGTGATTTTTGTAGCACAACAAATTTTGACTTTGGAGCACATGCTATGGACTTCAAAAATTATGAATTGCGCTTAGCTGTTTTTTCTTGTAATCTTTGATGCCAATTTTCCCTTTAAGATGACATTGTGAGTTGTAGATACACATTCAATGTTGGTTGGTATTACTTATTAGCACTATTATTATACAGACTTAATACAATATATTGTGCCAGGATAGATGTTTTCTATTTTATAGTGAAACCAAATCAAGTACCACTTTCGAATTTTGTTGTTTCATATAGATTTTTTGTCTTCCGATTTGTGTATCTCATTCATCCTTGGTGCTTCTAACGATAGTGATCATGGGCCGAGCTAGGATTTTTAACTCGTGGGATCATTACGGATACTCTATGGTGACTTCCTTTGCTTAAGGTAGTTGATTACCTGAAAGTTAAGCTTCAAGTTTTATGAGTCTAGGCAAGGTCTACGTTTAAAAAGTTACTTATTTTTATTATTATTTTAAATACTTATCATTCTAAAAATTATTTAATAATTAAAAGAATGCATACGAAACATTTAAAATTATTAAATGTTATATTTACTTAATAATTTCTATAACTAGTCAATAATACAATTTAATACCTACAATTATTCAAGAATACAATTTTCAAATTTTTGAACTACAAAAGTTATAATGTTTCTCATAATATCAACTTTTAACTAGACAAGTATTACTTGATAGATTTATAGAAATATCATACATATTTTTTAAATTTCTAATAAAATGATATGTTATAAAATTTTAATTAAATAATATATGGATAAAGTCATTTTTGACTTTTGTATGAATAAAATTTAAAATTTGAAACCACATTCAAATAAAAGCCTTTCACAAAAGGAAAGATTAAAAAAACAAAAAAGTTAGTAAATTAAATATTTTTTAAATATGGAAAAATTTAAAAAAGTGCCCACGCTTGCATTAGACGATCAGCTTAGCAGTTGACCGCTGAAGTCGCGTTGATTATCAAGGAAAAATATTTTGTCCGCAAGAAATGTCCAGTCTCATGTGCTCACTTGTAAAAATATCCAAAATTTGTTCAATGTTCATTTCACAATAATTTAGATCAAAATAACATTGTTAACAATTTATAGTTCCACACTGAAGACAAAAATGTTCATAAAATAAAATTTTGTTGGCCAATAATTTTTTGACACATTATCCACTTAGTTATTTCCAAAACTATACATATCAAATCATAATGAATACTATTTTCCTCATTGAAGAGACCCATTTTTTGTATTACAACTGTGCTACACGACCCGCGTGGATGGGCGCGCACACACACAACGGGGTTGGGATTATTTTATTCAAACGGGATCCACGCATCCCATGTGAGAGCATGGTTATCGAGGATGTCATCCATGCAGGTCGAGTGACATTATTCTTTGTATTATATATAGTTGGGTTCTTCTGCTGAGTCGGTTCTAAGTTAACATGACGCGATTTGAACTCTCGATTTGTAGTCAAGATGAAATAAATTTTACCCATGAAAATTGAATCGTTCGACCATTGTCCCTGCCTGACCTGTATGAACCAAAAAAATTGAAATCAATTCAAACTCATTCCCACACACAATTCCTTGATTATAATTCTCACTTGGAAACCATACATTGCCTTCCTCACTATTCATCGGCTGTAGCATCTCTAGTCGTCGGAATCGTTGCGCTGGTCGTCATATTTGCTTGTGGTGTGCGTTTTGCCTGTTATTCTCGATTGATTTTTGCCTCAGTTGCCCCTTCTTCTCTCTATCAGATTCTCACTATTTCGTCATTAATTTTTTTCCCTCTGTGTAAATATATATTACTTCTTCCATGAGTGTATTCACATGCAGTGTTGTGGGGGTATGGGTGGTATTGAAGTTTTGTAGAAATGGGGGATTTTGTTGGGAGAAGTGTTATGGAACTCATTGAATGTTGTAGTGTTTTGTATAAATGGGGGATTCTTACTATTCACTTTGTTGTGTTGAAGTGTTTTGGAAGTTTTGCAACGGTCGGTATTTCCATGTGATGCTGTGTAACTCATGGAACTCTTGCTATCTTTATGCTTTATTCAACTTTCATATTCTTTGCTTATAGTTTGATTCTTGTCAATTTGATGGCCATGATTCCGTCTACGTCCTTTGATTTTTAGTGCGAATTTGCAAATCTGAGTGTGTAAGATCTGTTCTTTCTCATTTTACTTGTAATTTCAAAACATAACAATCATGCATTGCTTAAATAGGCAACAATGGACAATTGTAGAGATAAGGACAAATTACAAATAACTTAACCAACATTTAAAAAAGATGAAGCCCTATAGATTCTCATGTCAAGACTTCTCCTTTCAATTTTCCTTTTGAAGAACACGGAATTTAAATTGGATAATAAATTTCTTTTTGAAGATGTTCGAGTTCTCCGAAAAAGAAGTCATTTCTTGCACTTTTATCTAAGTCTTGTTGTTTTAAGTGGGGGGGGGGGGGGGGGGGGGGCGT